TATTGCTGTTATTTTCAGTAGAATTCCAATTTCCACCAACTGGAGCCTGGCTGTGGCTCAGGGAACACATGGCCTACATCACAACTTTAGCCCAGGCATTTATTTATTACAGATTATTTATTTATTCGAGAGCCAGTTTGGTGTAGTAGATAAAGACACCAGGCTAGAAACTGGGAGACGATGAGTTCAAGTCCTGCCTGAGGCACGCAGCCAGCTAGGTGACCTTGGACCAGTCTCTCTCAGCCCTAGCAAACCCCTGGCAGTGGCACTCCTGAAAATCTCGACAAGAAAACTTGGATACTGTAAAACCGCTTAGGTTTCAGGGAATGCCCTGGTGAACAGCAGGTCTCTAGCTGTTCTCTAAAAACCTAAATTGAAGAGTCTGTCTCAGGTCCATTGGAAGTCCATTCTAAAGATCTGGTGCTGCCACCAAGGTGGCTTGCTGACAAATCCATGCCCAAATAACCTCTCCCGCAGTCGGCAAGCCCTCCCTAACAGATTTCATGCTTGTGCAGACACCTTGCAAAAGTCACAGGTGCTTTGAAGGTGCAAAGCATAGGCTTCATTTGCAGACCTTCAGATTGCCAAATATGTCTTTCAAAGGCTTTGCACAGCCCTGCTCAGGTACCTAAACTCAGGTACTTTGCCCTTCACAAAAGCACACCCACCCCTAGCATTTTCCAAAAGCTTTGTTTTCCCAGGGACTACTACTGGTAAGGGACTGGGAACTGAAAACTCTTAGATGAGTCACAGCAGCTCCCCAAGTGTTAGCCAATATATTCAGATCATCCTTTTGTCTCCTCCTGCCATCCCCTTCGCTAGATGTGACTTCCGTTTGCAAGAACAGCCCTGAACAAATGCTGTATCTTTCAAATAACTTACCTGCCAAAAAACAGGGGATGGGGAAGTCTGGGTTTGTTCTATTGCAGCTTTCTGGGAAGTCTTCTGGATTGCCAAAGGGGAGATAGGCAAGGCCTCGATCTGTGAACATCTCGTTGATAGCCAGCAGTCCCAGGTTGTTTGTGAAATTTCTTAGCTGCATTGCCCACCTGTCTTCGCTGGCATATACCATACTGGCATCAACAAAGGATGTGAGGGCATTGATCTGATTGCGAATGGCATAGCCACCGTTGCACGCAGGAGCTGCCCGGGTAAAGGGGATGCAGTCGCCCTGTGGTTTTGAAGGGTCATTAGGTGGAATCTAGAGCAAAAAGATGAAGATGAGCTTAAATTCCCTGGTTCAAAGAACATAATATTTGCTTTATTCTGCCAAATAGAGGAATTCTTATATCAAACAACCTGCAGTTTTACACGGGTAGCCACCATTGTCCTCATGCTTTCCTCTTTTCTCCCATTAATGTTTAAAAGGAACATATGACACAACAGAGGGATGCTTGGAAATTGTATAAATATGATCCACTTCTGGAATGAGTTTGCTTTGGTGACGGGTTTTGGACTTCAACTCCCCTCAGCTCCAGTTAGCATGGCCACACAACTGAACATCTGAAGGCCTTCAAGTTAAATTGGGAGGGAAGGGAAACAGGTTACATCTGGTAAGCATGCTGGCTCAGCAATGCTGTCTTTTTATATGAATAAGGAATGTTTAACAAATTCTGTCTTGATTTTTTGGGGGAAAAAACCCTCTATAAATAAAAAGTAAAAAATTCAAACACTTCGGTACTGTAAGCATGCTGGCTCAGCAATGCTGTCTTTTTATATGAATAAGGAATGTTTAACAAATTCTGTCTTGATTTTTTTGGGGAAAAAACCCTCTATAAATAAAAAGTAAAAAATTCAAACACTTCGGTACTTTAATGACTTTGGGCACAATATTTATTTATTATTAGATATCCTCTCTTTTTTTTGGTCCAGAGCACAAAGTGACATACATACAGCAACCTCTT